GAATGATGAACTGGGGCTCAGGAGGTCTCGGTTCTAGTCCCCAGTCGGACATGAAGCTCACTGGGTCACTTTGGGCCAGTCCCTGGCCCTCAGCCTCACCTACCTCCCACGGCTGTTGTGGCGAGGATAAAATGGAGAGCCACCTTGGGTTCCTTGCATGGAACACCTTGGGCTCCGCATCCTACACAGAAGGGTAGGACATGGATGGAATACACTGTGGAAATGTGCAGATGAAGTCCCATTACCATTGAAAACAGCGGTTTCACAAAGCATGTTTAGCGGCTGTTGTAGTGTGCGTGCAGAATCTCTGCAGACATCTACAAAAAAGGAACGATTTAACCGTCAGCCTCAAATGATTCCAGTGCCCCTGCCACCCCCCTGCTCAGAGTGAGTTCATTCTGTTCTTTCACAGTCTTCCTATTTTGCTTTTTGGCAAGGCATCTGTGCCTGCAACTCTGCCTGACAGGTGAATTTTCTTCCAGGATTGCACCTCCACGCTGTGACCTATACCTATTGAATTATTGTCTGTTACCATCCATTATTGTCTGCTGTCTATGTAGAGCTAACAGGCTTGCATCTACACTGAAGGATGAAACTGGGGGTATGGGGCCTCGTTCAGACCTTCTGGAGCAGCATTCAGGGGTCACATTCTTGGGTGGGTGGGTGGGTGGGGCTGAAAGCCAAAGGGGTGGGGCCAAACATGCCAACCTACTTTAGCTTAAAGGTCTTCCAGCCAGCAGCAAAACCTTAGGAGCAGCCTTTTAGAATGGGGACCAAACTGCACACCGGAAGGGAAAATGGGAAATGGTCGGTGGTGGGAGAAGAGGTGCGGCCCTCTGGGGACTCCAGGGGTCTGGATTTGGAGCCTTTGATCTTTGTGTCTGAGGTTCTGCATCCTGGAGTTAATAGATGCAAACCAGATATCCGGTATAGCAATACCGAGTCGCTTAGGGCCCTTTGCTGCCAACCTGAAAGCCACAATTTAATGGTAGAACTTCAAAGGAAGATGCCAGTGTGAAATTGCTAAAGTAAAACTGATCGAGAGGTTTCATTCGGTTTTGTTTAGGATTCAGGTCTGGACAGCACTTTCACTTTCACTAGTGTTAGCATTGGGAATATAGGATGACCACTATGACACCGAACCTGGAGAACTCATAATGTGAACCTGCATACTTATGGAGCCAGGATAGCACCATTCACACACAAGGCACACTTGGGGCAATTGCAGATTTGGCAGAAACACACGAGAAAAGCAAACCTGAGAGGATCCTTAGAATGGGATCCTCAGAACAACCCAGGGAGAGTTGCGTGTCATGGAACAGTGATTCTTGGATGTGTGCGGATAGCTGAAGGAAACGGAGAGAGGGAACGGAGTGCCCTGTTGGAGGGCATGGCCGGCTGGAGTCCGGAATATGTTTCTGGAATATGTGTGTGGCAGGTCTCTCTTCTCACCGTTGTAAATGGTTGGTTGTGCTTACCGTGTTTGCAAGTTTTGCACGGTGATGCCGCAGCCTGGCCCTCTCGTGCTTTAGAAGCCTTGGGCTCCGGTGTTGTCATTCCCCTCCTACGCCCATCTGCAGTGGTGGAAGGAGGGGGGAAGGCATCATCCCACGTCTTTTCAGGCGGAACAGCAAGCAAGCGGCCCAATTCCCACTCTGAGCATTGCTTGGGGGGGGGAGGGGGTCTGTGTGCATAATCAGCTGAACCGAAGAGAAGACTTGATGAGAACAGACGCTGGATCAGACCCAGCACCTGCCTAGTCCAAGCCCACCAGCAAGCGGTGAGTGTGATAGAGCCCTCTCCCAGTGTTTCCCAGCAACAAGTATTCAGAAGAATATTAACTCTCGTACTAGAGGTAGCACAGAGCCATCAGGACTAGGAACCATGGGTAGCTTTCTCTTCCATGAGTTTGACTATTCCCTTTTAAAGCCCTCCAAACTGGGGGCCATCACTGTATCTGGGGCTAGTGAATTCCCTAGTTTAACTGTACATTAGTACAGTTAAGTGGTGCTCCATCTTGTCTGTCCTGATTTTCCTGCCAATCTCCTCGAGAGAAGGAAGACAATGTCGCCTTCTCCACTTTCTCCACCCCATGCAAAATTTACACACCTCTGTCTTCTTACTGCCTGTCTGCCCTTTTCTCTAAGCTAAAGAACTCCAAACATAACTGCCCTCGGAGAGGAACTGCTGCACCCTCTGGATCACTTGCCCAGCATGCCATCAGTGGAAGCCCACTTGCTTGTGGTCAGGGATGCTAGGAGGTGTAGTTCTAGTTCCCACGGGGCTGAAGAAAGCTGTACCACAAAGCCCTACAGCACTTTCACCCACCTTGAGCTCCCCCGGCTTAAAGCAGGCAGATTTATTTCCACGTTGCATGATGGAAGGAACATGGGAGCAAAAGCTACGCTAAAGGATTGACTCCCACCCCCCATCTGGACTAGTAATCAAAACCCAGCTCTGCTTCCCTGCAGCTTCAGTGCGGCTTGGGCTCTTCCCTGCTAATGTTTATCTTGTTCAGCTCTTCCTACAGGTAGTGATTATTTTAATGTGTTTGAAGCCATTGACTGAAAGGATTATCCATGAATCAGTTCTCCATAACCTGGTTTTCTTGCTCGAGGATGAGTCATTTGGCAAATGATGCAATGGATCATGTAATCCCCCATCAGCTAGGAAAATCTGTTTTAAAAAAATCATGCTGGCAGGAACAGGTCTGATCTGTATAAGGGGAGCTTAAATACGCCGAATGCTGTGCTTTGCAGACTAGTGGGGCATTTTTACGTTCTCAAATGTTAACTCTTATTTTATAATGGCTGGAGGAATGAAAAAACTCATTCCCATCGGGGGGAACAGGGCTGATTTGCTGGCTTCACTTGACCACCGTGTAGCTCACTTTGCCACCTTCATTTGCCACGACTTAATATCTGATTTCTCCTTCTACTTCTGCTTTGCCCATGTGGTAAATTGAAAGCCTTAGGGGGCAGAGACTGCACCACTGTTCTACTAGATAGCCCATTAAAAATCTGGAACAGACATCATTCAGAGTTCTCCCTATAGTTATTCATCTGAGCGACATACCTCCCCAAAGCTTTATAGTTGGCATCTATTGCAGGAGGCTGGCACTTTTTCAAGGCTGTTCTAAGGGATGTAGACACGCTCCCTGGGTTGCTTTAACCCAAAACCATGTTTGCAACTTCTGCAGTAACACTGCAGAAAGTTCCCATTTAGGGCACCAAGGATGGAGAACCTGTGGGGCTGCTCCTGTCATTCCACAGCACTGGCTCTGCTGTGAAGGAGAACGGGAACTGCAGTCCAGGAACTTCTGCAGGGGCTCTCTTTCCTCATCTCAGAGCCACACGGAAAGCAATGACTGTGATTTGACCCTTGGCAGGGAAGTGTGTTTTATTTACATGTTACATGTGCTGTAATACAATTTAATTGGCAATGCCAATCCCCTTTGATTAATTTAATTTGATTTTAATTTGCAATGCTAATCCAGAGCCAGTGTGAGTACCTGGCTTCCTTCAGCAGTTGACAGCTCTCTAGCAGGGTTCTCTTTGAATCTTTTGCTTGCCTGGTACCGGAAGTACCGCAAAAGAGCTACCTGCAATGCTGCTATCTCAGGAGCATCAGGGCAAGTTAGAATGGTAGCTAGACCCACCATGTAGCACTGCTTGGGGCTGCTGGCCACCAGCGAAGTCACCAGGGCTTTCCTGTCGAGAAGGGGATGCGCCAGAGCGCATTTCTCCAGAACGCTCTGCATCTGGGCACTGACAGTGTGAAGAGCGTGTGGAGGAGACCCCAGCCTGCGTGGCTCTGTGGAAGTGGTGCAGAGCCTCTGTCAGCTCAATGGCTCAACTCCATTTGGAAAAGCTTTCTGGGGCCACACTCCAGAAATAGGCGAGGCCAAAGGCGAAAGGGGCAGGGTCACCGTGCTGCAGCTGGAAGCACCTCCTGCTAGTAATCGAGTCTTTGGAGGAGCATCCCAGCCTTTAGAATGGGGAAAACAGCTCAGAAAGCCTGAAAAGCAAGGCCAGGCAGCGGAGGGACATGGTGCATGGACTTCCTGCCACGTTCCAGCCGAGGGCCAACCAGTGAGAAAAAACCAACTTCCTCCAACAGGAGGAAAATACAACCCTTGAAGCCCCATTTGGGAGCAAGACTTCCATTATTTGCATCCCTTTCCTTCCTTTACCTGGAAGATCCTCCAAGGCCTTGAGCACGCATGTCTTGGGATGCAGGGATACCACACATTCCATTCACCCGCTTTATTTACCATCACGTCTCTTTGCAGGCTAATCTGCAAATGGGGAACGCTGGCCATTATTCCACTTTGGGCTTCTTTGGGTCAGCGTCACCCATTCCTTTTTCTGATGCTCACAGCCTCCCTTGAAAACACCTGAGCGGCTCAGCTGACACAAGCCCAGCGTGGCAGCAGGCGGAAAAAAACCCTTTCATTGGCCAGTATTGCAGCCAAGGTGGCGCTGAACCCATTGTCCATGGCACTCGATGGGTAACGGCTGAATCACAGCCCCATACCCAGTTGATGTGGCAAACGGGGTGGCGGTTACCATCGGGCCACTCCGTTGAAGAGGAAGCCTGGCCCACATGGGATGCGCCACCCATTTGGCAGGTGTGAAGACATTTGGGGGGTCCCCTGATGCGCCTGGATAGATCCAGAGCTTGAGCAAACCACAGGCTTGCTATGGAGCCTGAATCAAGCAGAACAGGGTGAGGAGAGACAGGAGGGAGGGGCCCCCAAAGACCATCCAGGAAGGCCAGGCATGGACTGGCTGCTCTGTGAGAGTGGGACCCCAGACAAGCTTCTTACCTTGACCCTCCCTCAACTTCCTTCCTGCAAGTCATTTTTCTGGGAAGGAGCAGAGAGCAATGCAATGCCACACGACCTGATCTGCTCCGGTCCTTTCCAACCCACCCAGCCCGCCCTGCTCCCCAATTTTCAGCCCAGCATTCCCATTCATTGAAGAGTCCAGGCCCAGCACTGGGGTTAGAGAAGTGACAATATTTTATTAGTTTGGTGGGAGGGCTGGCAATTGAAATCCATCTCCTGGTTTGTCCCTTGACATTTTGCATCTTGATTTCAAGAGTGACAGCTTAAAAAGGAACAAGAAGCAAAACAGAAATGGGGCAAGGGAGGGGCAGGAAATGACTTGGCAACCACGGGAAAAACAGAGAAGGGATTCAGGGCACGCAGCCACCCGCTCTTGCTTCTCTGAGGCCGAGCATGGAGTCTGCAAAGGGCTGGCCCACCTGGGGGATGGCCGGGTCCCCCTGAGGACTCGGAGGTTCTGCAAAGACACTGGCTCTCTTTGTGGGGAGGAAGCGAATAAAAGAACTCTTCCCCTCTCTTTGATGCAGTTCTTAAAAGGCCAGGAGCCCTGTGCGAGATGGAATCTGGCAGCTTTTCATTACGAGGATATCTGCCCAAAGGGATTATGTCTCGGGAGGATCAAAAGATAAAATAATATCAGTCCCAAGCTCATTTCTTTTAATCCATCTCAAGAGCCCTGTTAGTATATGCCAAGAATAGGGCATATTCTTTAGTCTGCCACCCAACTGCAACCCTACAAAAGGTAGTAAAATGGTACAGTCTGGAGGCGCTCTCTTCCATCCTCCAGTAGTGGATAAACATCATAGTGCATTTGGCATACACTGACAGAGATGGCAAGACAAGGCAACCCAAGTGGCCCACCATCTCCCCCTGTTTCAGATGCCAAGGTGGTTCATCCCAGAACATGCATTGCTTCGGAAGGCAACCGGATCATATGGCAGCACCCTACTAAAACTGGCATGTTTCTACTGGAAGGAAAAGAACGCACTGCAAATGATAAAAAACGGCACAGGCCTATCTGGCTAGCCCTATAATAGCCCCCCATCTCTGCTTTCCTTAAATCATGGCTGAACTTACTTCCTAGCCTGGGAACCACTGGGATGGACAAAGGGCAGCCCTCTTATCTGTTTCAGCAATGTTGCCCCATCCCTTGTATCTCTGAGGAAGGGGAGAGGAAGGAATAGGGAGGTGAGGGAGGAGAACTTAAATCTTGGCTTCTCCTCTTTCCAATCAAGTAAATAAGGTGCTGATGGAAGTTAACTGGGTCAAGGGAAGTAGAGCGTTAACCTGCTTCGGTCAACCCACTTTAGTTGGCTTTCCAAATAAATTAAGTGCAACTAGTGAGGAGTTCAAAGGGAAGCATAAGACAAGTGGAAATGGAAAAGACACCAAATGTCTCTCTGGAGTTTGGTTCCTATGCTGGAGGCAGGCTAGATTAGCAATTCTTGTCTCACGCATAAGCTACAGGCATTCCATGTTAAAAACAGCCCCCCTCCCCTAAATAAACCCTGGAAAAAGGGAGTTGCCGATGAGATGCGTGCGGTGGGTCAATGATGCAGAGGCTGCTGCTCTGTGGAGCACCAGGTGGAATGCATGGCTAGAGCTTCAGGGTGAGACAGCCAGCTCAGCGTGAGCTGCAATGGCAAGATGGCTGTTGGCCCTGGGCAGGTGAGGAAGATGCGCGCAGAACAGCCCCACCACGCAACGGAGCGTTGGTTAGTGACAGGAACACACGAGATGGCGAGGGTGGTGCAGGGTGTTTAGTAGCTGAAATCCTTGACTTTGCACGTGGAGACTGCAGATGCGACAAATGACCTGGGGAAGTGCGTGATCGCAGAGCTATTCCAACGACAGTGGCTGATGGCTCCTAATGCAAGCTCTCTCTCTCTTTCGCGTTCTCTCTCTCTCTCTCTGTGTGTGTGTCTGTGTGTGTGTGTGTACGTGTGCGCACGCACACGCACCTTAAGAGTGATGAAGACTTGAGGGTGTGGAGGGGGAGGTGAGAAGAGAAATGGTAGGCAGCGAGGCCAGAGATTAAAGTTGTGAAGCCCGGAAGGGGTATGTGAGAAGGAAGATGGCGAATGGAAGAACAAAAACGGGGGGGGGGGGGGGGGGGAGAGGGAACGGGCCGTGGAGGGAGGGGCGCATGGCTCAGCCAGAGCAGAGGAGCAGGAGGGCTCAGTGTGGAAGGTACGTGGGACCTACCCCTCTCCCTCTGTAGATACCACCAACTCCCACCCACCTGGTATCACCCACCGCCCAGTGACCCCACATCTCCCCCAGGAGCACCGAAGGGCTCAGTTCATCTCTTCAAAGAATTTGTAGGTGGGGTTCTCGTAGCCATGGTTTTGCATCTTGCTCAGCTGCCGCTCCTCAGGGCTGACCATGGGGTCCACCTGCCATGTGGGGAGAAAGAAGGGGAGGTTAGGCACAACTGTGGGGCTCACCAGGACTCCACTGAGAAAGAACGACAACCTTGAGTAATCCCTGCTTTGCAGAGAACCCTGGAAAGGGAAGTCCTGGAAGTGGGAAGTGGCAGGGAAGGACCAATCTAACACAATTCTCAGGGTGCCCTAACAAGCTGCAACTCCCAGGATTCTTTGGGAGTGGGAAGCCATAGCGGGGGGAGCTGGTACCAGAAAACACCCATACAAGGTTATAGTGCAGGATGGGGAGACTGTGGCCCTCTTTTGCTGGATTACATTTCCCATCCCCCTGACCATCAGCCACGCTGGGGTTGATGGGAGTCAAAGTCCAACATAATCAGGCCTCCCTGCATCATCGTGGGCAGCTTTATATCAGTTGCAAGATTCCTATACAAAAGGTTCAATTCAATAGTTGTTCATTCTTGGGGCTGGTTTGATTTTGCCATATCTGAGTTCAGAAAGTTTCCCTCTCAGGTCAACTTGGTTAGAAACTCTCTGTGATTTCCCCACTTGATGCTCCTTTGCCCGGCCTGCATCGCTTCCACATGGAATGCAATGCCAAGTGTGCTGGAAGAACTTTTCTGGTGGTGCTTTGGAGCTCACCCCACAGGGCACATCAGCTCAGGCGGCTGGTCTGCGGAGGGCTCCTGGTTGGCCTTCCAGTTGAGGGGTGGGTTAGAGACCCTCCGTCTCCGTCAGTTCAAAAATAAGGTGGATCACACGCCCACAAGCCAAAGTAACAACCCCCCCATCCATTCCCTGATTTCCAAACATCCACACCAGCCACTCTCAAACACATCCCCCCTTTTCCTTTACTTATCAAATGGAAGGCAGCATGTGGGGAGGAAGGCGGGGGGTGGGCTGTCCTCCCTTGTCCTGCCTTCTTAGCATGCTGCAGTTCACCCTCCAGGCCAAAGGGGGCGTGGCTTTGGGACTTGCCATCTTCCCAAAGACTAAGCCAATGGCAATACTCCTTGGGAAGACCACACACCCAACGGTCCACCCCCTCACGCCTCCCAGCCAATGTTCTCCACCAGAGCAGCAGCAGTGGTGCACCAGAGGGATGGACCTCCCTTCCCATGGGCCACTGCTTCACGACCGCTGTTCGAGCCATGGGAAAAGGGAAGGGAATGTGGTTTTTTGGGGGAAGAAAGGACCAGAAGACTGCCAGGGAGAGAAGCTGGGAATTCTTCTCCAACTAGGATTTCAACCACTGTGGAGAAGAATTTAGATTTTTCTCCAAAGAAGTCCCCATGATTTTTCTCCAAGCTTGAGCTCCAAAAGTGTTCCCATCATCCCTGAAGTAGGTGCTGCCCCTTTCCAGCTGTACCTCAACAATGCCGTGGCTGATGGTCCCGTAGGGCTTCCGACGAACCATCAGGAGGCTGATGATGATCACCATGGCAACAGCCACTGCCACTACCAGGAGGCCTATCAAGGCACCCCTGTTGATGGTCACCAGGGAGTCTGGCTCCTGCAGAGGGAAAGATTCAGAGACCTTAGTATGCTCAGCTCCTCGTCTCTTCCAAAAGCTTCATGAAGCTAGAGATGCTAGTGGCAGGGAAGATGTTCCTGCAATGTCAGGCCTCTCCAGAAACTGCAAATAGTCATCCCTCCTGTTTGTAGAACCATCTTTTCCCAAAACCAGCTTGGCTCAAGCTCCATTAGGCCAGGTGCATGTGCAGTCGCCCAGGGCAATGTACAAACTGATGTTCAAGAAACAGGAAAAATTAAGGCGAGCTTAGAGAAAGGCTCAGGCATTGTGCGCCTTGCCCCATCGGTCCCAGTTTCCCTTTGCCTGATACTCAAACCACCAGCCAGCAGACTTTACCAGAAGGCTGTCTCATTGGTACGCGAGCTTCATTCTCAAGGGTTTGCTACCAGAATCCCTCATTCCAGCGACCACCAAACAGCTGTGCAGAGGGGGTGGCATTCTGAAGAGCAAGCAGGGGAAAAGGTTTCCCTTTCCTATTTCTTTTCTCCTGAAGCATCTCTGTATAGGAAAGGGATGTTCTTTAAGCCATCAGTACGTACCCCTCTCATCTCTATCACTTCTAGGATAAAACTGTTGGGATCTGACCGGTCCAGTGAACTCCTTCATCCCCCTGCCCAGTTTCCTCTCCTCCTCCTCCTCATTGGTCTCTTCATGAGTCTTTTATCTCACTACTTTACCAAGGTTCCTGTTTCTGGAACCCCTGCAGAACTAAGTGTGGTTTCTTTACCTGTGCTTTCCTCCCCAGCTGTTCCCTTTCTCTACCTTTCTATAGGTTCCATTACGCAACCACAAGGTGGTTCCATTATACAACCTATAGAAACCTTTCTATAGGTTCCATTACACAGCCAGTGCAGTGCAGTGGAACAGCTTCTTATCTGGGTTCATCCTGCCATTTCCAGATAATACCACACGTTCCTATTTATTCATTCACTCATTTAGAATATTTGTATGCCGTCCCATTAGCATGAACCTCGGGACGGCTTACATACAATAAATAAACACAGTACAAATAGTGCACATAAAATCCAGATTCACCCTGGCTGCAAATTAAAAAACCTATAGATGACATTAAAAATTGTTAAAATATTGTTTAAATAAAAAGGTCTTAGCCGGGCCCCGAAAAACAAATAACGACGGCGCCAGGCGGACCTCTCTGGGGAGCGCATTCCATAGGTGGGGCGCCACTGCAGAGAAAGCCCTCCTCTGGGTACTTAGCCTCTTAATGTCTTTCACGGGGGGGTTCCCGGAGGAGGGCCTCTGCTGCTGATCTCAGGGGGCGGGAGGGCAAATATGGAAGAAGGCGTTCCTTTAGGTATCCAGGTCCCAAGCCGTTAAGGGCTTTATAGGTGACAACCAGCACCTTGAATTGAGCCCAGACTTCGATGGGGAGCCAGTGAAGCTGGTAGAGGACTGGAGTTATATGATCCTAGATCTAAAAGAAGCCACAGAAATGCCTGCAAAGCATGGGGGAGGAGGATGGCCTTGAGTAAAGCACCCGCAAACTACTGCTGGGAGTGAGGAATCATGACTGCGCAGAGAATGCCCGGTGTAGAGGACCCCGTGTTGCCACGCAATGTGAAGTATGGTGCTGATTTTGTGGCCAAGAAGCAACCAGTCCCTGTCCCAGGTCTTACCTGTAAAAGTGGGAATAGCGACCTTGTTGACAGGCTGTTGCAAAGATAAAGACTGGCAAGGAATTTGCACACCAAAGGCATGACTTATTAAGAAGAAAAGGATCAGGCGAGGATTATATCAACTGTTGAATAGTTCAGGAGTATTCGCAACAAGCTTTTGATCTCCATGGCATTCAGAGCAAAAGTCAATACACATGAGACTTAGGGAAACGCAGTGTGTCCAGTTTCTGCACCTGCGATTCAGATGTCAGGATGGCAGGAGCTGCAAGGTACCACTCGGGCCTTTCGAAACAGCCCTCTGACTTTCTGTGCTGTTTTGCTCTGTGCAGAAGTCGACAAGCATCGCTTGCCAAAACTCCTCAATCTGGAGATGGCCATCGCCTGGTTTCGCAGAGAACAACGCACAACACACGTCTGTGCTGAGCTCACTGCATCACAGTCGCCAGCTCTGTTTTACCAGAGAGAAATGGTGTCCATTTCTGATTCCACATCCCTATAAACTCTTTATGGCCCAGGTCCGCAGTGGAAGAACTACAGCAGAAATTCTCTTCCCTTCAAACACAGTTCAAATAGCAATAAACACTGATGTGAAACATGACATGAAGCAGAGGGTGACCTCACTTATGGAAATGATGATGATGATGATGAGTATGCATTTTTTAAATTCTCCCTGGAAAAGTTTTCTTTGGTGTGGGATTCTGCAGAGAAGCAACTTAAGGTCTTTGCTTCCTGCTGAGAAATCTGATGCCAGCGATCCTCTCGGAAAAGAGTTGAATTAACAACCAACCACAACAACAGAAAAGGCAGAGGCCAAGGTGTAGCTACAGTTTTATATTACAACAGATGTACACAGGGCGCAGAGTCAACTGACTCTAATGGGGATCTGGAATTCGGCATATAACCAAGAGAACAGTAAAGATATTGGACAAAACAATTTAATGAAATAAATTGTACTTCCTTGCCTATAAAGCCCTGCTTTTAATTCCAGATGAGAATGGTTACTCAAGGAAAAGACACTCTCTCTATGTTGCAAAATCTTATCTTTGTTACTATCACAGAGCCCTGGCTTCAAATCTGTCATGGAGCATACCCTTCGGTAATGAAGCATTATGAGAAGCTATAGATTGAAGGACCGGGTGCATTGATATTTCCCCATCCAAATGGATGGTTCCATTGACTTCTATGGGAGGGGCTGCAGTGGTAGGAGATGCTTTGCCAGGCCATCCACAACTTCAGGCTCACCAGTGTTCAAGACAGGAGGCTGGTTTTGTCCCCAGCTGCCTAAATAACAAGAGCTGGGCTAGTCTGGCTCTTTCTAGTCTGGCATTTTATTCTCAGGTGCAGGAAGCAGACAAACAGGGCATGTGGGTGATACACAGCACTCTCTTGCTTGTATTCCCCAGTGAACAGCTTTGGAAGGCGATTATTTTCTGATGCCCCAGAGTTTGGATTCTGGTGCTTTATGGTAAAGTGGGGACGTATATCAGTGGACAACTGGTTTTAGCTGCTTTTAAATGTTGCATGTTTTGATTCTGTTGTAAGTTGCCTTGAGTCCTTTGTTTTAGAAAAGCCTCTAAGAAATCTAAGAAAGAAGGAAAACAAAATGGCTGTTTCCAGTAGCCACTTGTCCATTTTAAACTGAGTCTACTGCCATTCATTTGCTATGTTTGTGAGTTTCTTTGGGGCAAAAAGTGTGTGTGTGTGTGTTGGGGTGGGGGGGATGCTGCATTGCTCCTCTTTTCACAGGCTGCCAAGGTTCCCTTCCCCTGGAGCTTGGGGGCAGCAACAGAAAGTTGAAGTCACGCTGCAAAGGGCCTTATGCTGTTGATGGCCAAGCACCAATTCTGGCCCCTTTGTATTTATTTTCAGCTGGGCAGACTGTGCCGTGAAACACAGTTCGAAAGTCCCAAGGACCCCCCAACTCCCAACTTCAACATTTACTCTTGAGAGAGTCCCAGTCTTATCAAACTGCCCATCAATAAGGAGAAAGATCCAAAAGCAACTTAAAGAGTTGAGAGGCTCAAAAGCAATTTAAAGAGTTGAAATTCTAGCAGCTGAAGCATAATAAAACGTGTAATATGTTAGGAACAAAAAGACAGAGAGGGCGAGCGAGAGGGAGGAAGAATGAGAAGTATCTAGATAGAGACATAAAAAAGCCAAGGAGAAGAATTTTAAAAGGGTTGCATTAGAAGCAGGAACCCTGCCAGAAAGAATTGCTCAGGTCATTAGACTATCAAGATGTAAAAAGAGCACTTAAGGAAGACAGAAATACTGCAGAGAAGTTAAATTAGTGCTTCGCATCTGTCTAAGACAAAGACAAAGTTGGGGGAGATACACCCAAACTGTTCCCCATGAAGGAGATAAATCTGAAGAAATGACACAAACTGAATCGTCTTTGGAGGACATTTTAGAGCAAACCGCTAGATCAAGCTCATAAATCACCAGGAGCAGATGGAATTCTTCCCAGAGTTCTAAAAGGAACTCAAAAATAGGAGCGAGAGATAACATTAGCCCCCACATTGTGCACTGGCAATCTGTCCTCCGAAGCCCGGGCGTTCTGCAGTGGGGTTGCCCCGCGGACTGCTAAGTGCTCGTGCAAAAAAAGGTGCTGAGTATGGCCAAAACCTCTGCACCATGGAGTAAATCTTTGTGGAACGGGATCTCACACACACCTGCCCAACAGATGCTTGGCACAGCAGGCTCTGTCGGCATCCATTGCCTTTCTTTGGGAGGTGGTGGTGATGGAACTGAATCCAAACACCCTCTTCCCAATCACCCGGAGAGGATCGATCATGCCTATGCTGACAGTGCCAAACATCTGCTTGGCAGAGTGATCTGTCCGGGGAGTCTGGGCACGTTTACCACGGAGTCACAGGGCTGTTCCAAATGGGGGGAGAGGCGAATTCACATCTGAATCTTGACATGGGGGTGTGTGTCTGTACAAGGGCCTCTAATGTTCGTGCCTTCTTGCAGTCCCGAACTGTGGCATCAGGAAGAGGGTTAAAGTCTCCCCGCTCCTATGTCAGGCTCCAAATATGGATTGGGGCCTCTACACTGGCTATTTTTAAAAACACATCTGCATGGCAGGGCAATCTGTATCACAAAGAGAGACAGACCAGGTCACCATGCAGGCGTTAAGTGTGGCCCAGCTGGACTTGGATGATCCGGGTTCTAGTCCTCACTCAGCCATGAAGCTCACTGGGTGACTTTTGGCCAGTCACGGACTCCCAGCCTAACCCACCTCACAGGGCTGCTGTGAGGATAAAATCGTACCATAAGAGAGACTGTGCGAGAGAACTTGGGCTCCTTGGCAGAAAAAGGTGGAGTATAAATGTAATGAACAAACTGATGCATTCGGTTTGGCTTTCAGTTTGCGGTCGAGGGGAACTGAGTGTGGATGGATGAATAAATTAATTACTATAGAGGCACAGAATGCCCACAAGGGAGGCTATGGCGCTGAATGCACACCTGACCAGGTGGACGGGCAAGGTGCAGTGGTTCTTGGCTGGCCCAGGGCCACTTACCAGCTCGTCACGTTGGATCTCCTGCGACTTGTACACCATGCCTTTGATATCGGAGACAGACACGTTGACCTGTGGTGAGGAGGTGAGAAAAATGGTCAGCTTCAGAATAGGTATGCAACTGGGGCAGGGGGAGCGGGGCACAGAAGCACCCTGGGAAAGCAAGTATCTTCCTTCTCTACACCAAATCACTGCAAGCACATAGGATCATGCGCAGGCAGGGGCCTCATCCTGTCCCTGTTAAATACATGAGGGAAGCAAGCCAGCACTTACCTTTTCTGAGCGCCCACCCACATGTCAAAAGTCCACCCTCAGTGTGGAATAGCTAATCTATCAGAAGGTTTCCCAGGCAACCTTGTCTTCCTCCACGCCCAATCCAGCTCTACCCATGATGGGATGTATAGCAAAAGTAAAAACAACAGCACAAAACTCAGAAGGGACAAACAATGCATACGCCATAAGAGAAGATAAAAGTGACTCGGGTTCAAATCCCAACTTAGCCATGAAGCTCACTGAGGGATCCTCGGCCTTCGACGGTCCCACAGCTTAAGTTACCTCACAGGGTAGTGGTGAGGCTAAAATGGGGAGGGGGTTTAGGGGAGACCACCTTGAGCTCTCGGAAGAAAAGGAAGATGGAAATGAATGAATAAAGATGGCAAATGCCAGCGTGTGCCTCTGAGCCTACCTTACGTTCGTACTCATACAGCAAGGCCTTGTCGCTAGTGGGATAGTCATATTCTGCTAGCCCTGAAGCTGTGGAGAAAGGAACCTGGTGAGGATTAGAGGAACAGGAGTCCTAACTCTTAACCTTCGAGGATGCGATGCCTGCTTCCCTTCTTCTGGGAACAACCCTGAGCAGCAGCATCTTCCCTCCCCACGCAATCAAAACATTCTGAGAAGGACCGGTTGTTGTGCACAGAGCTGGGCACTCACCTTTCTTGTCAGTTTGTTCAGAATCTGCCCATTCCACACAAGGCACCAGAAGGAAAGAGAGAGCATGGCAGAAGGGGAAAAAGAACAGACAAAGAAAGACATGTTGAGGCCAAGAAACAAGAGACACTGCACAGCAGCTTTGAGAGAGCAGAGGCAAAGGTGGCAGTTGGGTCTACAGGTTCTCAAGCTGACCCTTGAGGGATGAGGAGGGTTCAGTGGACACTTATTATGGGATTCCTCAAAGAGAACACCAGTAATGGGGGATCCCACTCCATCTACCGTAGAAGCGCAGTGGCAAAATTTACAAAGTATAGCCAAAGGCCAAGCTACATGTTACACTTAATAGATCGCGAGCAGGTTCACCTTCCAATGCCTTTAAGTAGTTACAGGCATAAAGGGCAATTTTGTTTTGGGGTAAGGAGATTTAGTCCTTCCCTCCTTTTCCACGCTCCGCTTCAAATCACTCTCCCTTCTGCCTGGCTAGGAACTTTAGCATAGAAGTATCTATGCACACATGGGAACTTTTTCCTAGCGCCCATTCCTGAAGGACAGCAGTTTCTTTGGGAGCACGGCTGGAGAGGGAAGGGATAAAAGTTCTTCTATGAGTCCTACAGCTCTCCCCTCAGTTCTCTCTCCTTCCTGCCTGTAAATATTTAAAAGAAAATTGGAAAATGAAATTGGATGCTACACCTGAAGCTTGACCCAGAGTGACCTGTGGACCCTCAAAATCTTCCATACTGAACAAGGGTTCCGCACCTGACTTTCAAGGACTTTTTCAGCATACAAGTCAGCGGCAAAGGGGTTTGTGCAGAAGTTAAAAAATGGAAAGCAATTAAACTAGACTAGTAGACAGCCCAGTTCTCTCCAGAAGTTGTGGGCTAGAGCTAGGGAAGCCAGATAAATCTGCACTGGATTCACTTAAGATATCTTCATCTCTGACCTGTGGATTCTAACAGCAGACCTGCTTTTTCTGACCCATAGATTCCATAGACATGCGGAGTTTTTAATCTTTCTGGAACTGTATACAAATTGTCAGATAAAAATAGAAAGAAAAAGGACTGGTTGAAAATGCACCTTTCCTCAGTAGGCCAAAACATGACCATGTGTGCGGGTATTTTGCGGGGGGGAGGGAGGTTGTGCATTTTCAGACAGGCGCACGTGTGCAAATGCACATTTGCACAAGCTCACGTTTTCCAATGAGAATGCACGTTTGGGAAACTGAGAAAAACCCAGTACTGCCAAGAAGTGGAGGATGGAAATCTGGAAAGCACAGGCAGAATGGAATTGATGAAATGTATAACTACAGCTCATAGGATCCTCGACCTTTGGTCACGCTGAACGAGGCTGAGGGGAGCTATAACCCTAGACATCTGGTGCGTATGAAGCTGCACCCCTCTCAACCAGGGCACGTGAGAGATGCTTCATCTCCATGTCCCTGGTTCTCAACCAGGGGAAAGCCATCATTAGCGTTATCAGATCTCAGAGTCTGAATGCTGTCTAAATATTGTATTTCATTATAATGGAAAATAATGGGGAGACATTTAAAAGGAATGCCCAGTGTAAGGGAAAAATGAAGGGAAATGAAGAGGGAAAAGCCACTTTATGGTAGGTTTAGCCCATGAATAATGGATGCTAGAGATAGGTACTCTCAAGGTATCTCCTTGTGCTGGCCTGAAACAAATAGGATTTTAGCTGCCACAATAGGAAGAAGGCCACTCCTTAACTCCCCTTCTGCATGTTTATTACTCCCCACCAGTGTAAAACATTTCAGATTGATCCTATGTTCAAGGAATGTCCATTGACTGGGACATGATTACCCTGATATCACCAAGTATCGATGGCAAACATGCACCCCAAAGCTGACATAGGAAGATTCTTGTACTATTGGAATTATCACTGGGTTTTCTCAACTAGGCCACTTGGATTTTGTTCAGGCGATCCATGTCGGGGTTAGCTCAGACTGATGTCATTTATGCCAGCATGCAGACTTCCATTTTTATAGACAGGCTATAAATTGCATATTTCTTTAAAAAGCTGGGAAAACCTGCAGCAAAATCAGGTCTCTGTTCTGCATATTTGTGCAATTTGCATACCTGGGCACAAATTGAAGAGCAGTGGCCTGAATGTTGCACAAATCTGAAATGAGCTGCCAGAAAATTCAGGGTGACCCTAGTGGAGTGTGTCACGCAGTCCAGGGAGGATGCTTCCAAAGTTCTCATGTGAAATGAGAATAGGAAGAACAAAAATATCTAATGAACCAGCCCTAATTTGAGCAACATGCAGTAGAGAGATGTAGTTTCTCAGGTCCAAATTTGTGCAAATATTTCAAACGATTTTATGGAAGCCAGACCAACCCCTGCTCCTTGGCCTGCCCTATTTTTTGAGTTTGGGAACAGAATTATGTTGCAAACCCGTTGAACTCAAACAGAATGAGTTTTCCAGAGTTGTGCCTCTTTAGCAGCAGGTTGCTGCCAGTTCAAGGAAGAAAACTAGGCAACACTGAAACATGGTAGGGAAGGAGCTAAAGTCTGCTTGGTTCACTCAAGATCTGGTTCTGCCACCAAGAGCAGAACATTAGGTCTGCAAAAAAAGTGATGCAAGGCCATGATCTTACACATGCTTAGACAAAAGAAACTGGCTGGGGCATGCTGGGAGTTGGACAACTTTTCTTTTCTTTTCTTTTCTTTTCTTTTCTTTTCTTTTCTTTTCTTCACCCACTCTAAACTCAATAGAGAGCTCCACGCTGGCCTTGCACCCCACTTCAGCCTCCTCCAAAACATAGGGTGAGAGGAAGTCGCCCTTACACTGACTCGTCCAGGTCACCACTGCTGACATTGGCAGACAGCAATGGTTTTCTAAGATTTCGGCTGGGGATTGCATCTGAAATCTTCTACATGGAAAGCAGGTGATCTTCCCTATGTGAGCTATGGCCCACCCACCTAGGATCCAGTGACAGGGCTCTGACTTATCCCAGCAGTCCACCTGGAGGACCTCTGACCAAAGAAACACGGCTCACAGAAAGCAAGACGTGAGCATGTGAGAAGAGTCCTGCCTTGGCTGAGCCAATAGTCCATCCAGTCCAGCCGCCTGTTTCTTCACAGCAGCCAACCAGATGTTCCTTGGGAAGCCCATAAGCAGGACAATAAAGGTAACAGTTCTGTTCTGTAGCTGTTCCCCTACAGGTGGTGCTATCTATAGTCCTGATGAATCCATACCTGTATCACCACTGATAGTCACTGGTAGACCTATCCACCATGAATTTGTCAAGTGTCCGCATAAAGATGCATGGCTCAGAGTGATGTCACTCATTTCTACAGGACTACAAGGACACAGATGGGAATGTCGGCAATGGGAACATCTGCAGACAATAAGGAGGCACAGATCCCCTGGGACCACTTTGCACAAAGAGCCAAGAGTCAGGGAAACAAATCAGAAGGAGGTGGATGGGCACCATTTATTTTCACACAATTCCTTAGAAGGCACTCACAGCCCACCAGGAATCTCAGTCCTGTAGCTGCAACCAGAACTGAACAGATAATGTTCCTCAAACAGTTAAGCAGGGTGGGAGGCCAGCCAGGGAAGACGAGATCATGGAACAAAACTGACTCTTTGCCATTGATTCTCCTGCCCCCTATGTATAATAGAGCTGTCCAAGGTTGTTGAGGGGCTTTGGATTCAGAAAAGGCGGAGGGGCCAGAATCCACAGCTGAATTGCCAAAGGCCAGTGGACTGAGGGATAAACCAAGCAGCTGCTGAGAATCAGGCAGTTACTCATTTTGTAGGAAACCTGGAATGGGAGGGGAGGACCCAAGACTGAAAGTCTGGTCATATGGCACCGGGTTAGGAAGGCAGACCTGCAGAGAAGCCTCAGGTGCTCCAAGCTATTAGCCTTTAAGCGGCATGGCCCACCTTGAAGGTGGGGTTAGCTCTTTCCATCTGGAAGGGGAGAGAGGTATTCCATTTGGAATCATTAAGCCCCATTTCCCTAGTGGCCATAATTTTGCTGTGCTTGTTTCTTTCCTCAGGGCTTCCTGCAATAGCCTTCTTTTGTTTCAGGAAGCAAAGATAATAAAGATGTGCAGTTAGAAAGGCTTTGTCCTCATTTGCTTAGAAGGATGGAGAGAAGACCAGCTGCACCAGTTTGGAAGTACAGATGCTCTTCAGGACTATTGCCATAGCCACACACCCCTCTTTCACAGGGAGGGGCCGTTTTCAACAAGTGTGGGAGGCAACCCAGGAGTCTTCCTTCTCCAAACTCTCCAGGCGCTGTTGCCGTGTTGTGCAGGGTCGGCACACCAGGGCTTTCAGCCAAGCGGTGCTTCCTGGAATGCCCAGGGACCACGTGGCAGTGTGTGGGTCTCCTGAGCAATAATCGCATTGCTATTTGGTTGCAAGCAAGAACAGAACTTTAAGGAAGCTCTTTCCCCCCAGCTTTCCCCACTAAATGCTGAGGGCGCTTTGAATGAAACAAAGGCGATCAAAACTGCCTTCCCCCATTGGGGTTTTTGCAGGAGCTACACCTCCCATGGGCCCCATAACCTCCCTGCCTCTGCAGCCAGATGCCATGCCCCCCCAAACTGCCTATTCCACCCATTAATACAACATCATGATTCAGTGCCATTCCCAGGGGGAATGTCATTTTTCTCAAAAACAAAACAAGCAAGCAAGCAAGCAAAAAATCAAAATGGCGGCACCCATGATTTCCCCAGAATGCTGTTCATAGCAATGTTACAGCATTTCAGGGACATTTGGGGAATAAAAATGACAGCTGGTGGCAGCAGGAAGATCAATAAATGTCAGTAGCTTTTGCCACCCACTTCCTGAGAAAATAGCCGACACGTCTCTCCACTTTTGGGGTCTGCGCACCATGACTGGGGCAAGAGAGTGGCAAGGATCACAAATGTATTTCAGTCTAGCCCTAGAAATGAACATGACTCATTCTTCCTTGGAACAGAAGAGTAGCTGGCAATGGGATTCTGCTGCAACACTTCCGTGGACAGAGGGCTATTGTCGCAATGGCTACA